TTATCAGGTCTATTCGCTCTACAACCACGTGGTTATGTTCATTGTTGTTGAATATGGTCATCGTCGAATTTTATTCCAATATGAGCTGTATGAGAAGTGAAGCTGCCATTATTCATTCTATTACTAGTTAGTTCATTGGTCATTACTATCGAGAGAACATCGATTAATCGCACCATAAGTTTGAAGGGATGTTGTCGTTTAAAAATGATTAGCCCAATGGAAAAGGGTTCTTTGGTTTATCTGATATGGTAGTGGAACATTATGGGGATGGATTATATCCTATATAAGATAACCGCAGTTTCTGTTTCTGTGATGATCGCATTATTTTATCTTCACTTATTACAGTTTGTCATTTTCATAGTCATTCGCGCACGTTGAGCCAGTTCACATCTCGATAAGTTGAATTCTGTAAATGTACGTGCGTGAGTACAAATATATGTTTCATTAATCTGCGTTTGCCATTTCTGTTGTTCACCAATTCGGTTCATGTAGTTTTCAAAGTGCATTTAAATGAAACCAGTCGCTGTGAATAAACATTCGCATTCCCAACCAAAAAATAGGAACGAACTAACGAGGAACGTCCTTCAGGGCGTGGGAGGCGTCTTGAAAATGGTTTTCTGTTTGGTATAGGGACATGAGCACTGAGTATTGAACTATGGTCCACTTGCGCTAAGTGGCCTTCTGAATGCCAAAAAACGAGTGAAAATGGTTTTTACAGAAAAACCACTAAGCATCGATTGTTTCATTCACCTCGTCGACTGTCTGTACAGTAGAGGGCGCCAGTTGACTTTGCATTGAAAATAGTGTGAGCGGTAGTCAAAAAAGAGAGTCACATGTTGAAACATGCTGAAAAGTGCGGGGAAGTTTCATATGCTTCATATGCTTATTCATATTCATATGCTCTCCATGGCTGATTGTGAGCTGCCAGCAGCGACGGATGGTGTGGTGGATAGCAATGTGGACTTCGAGCTAGGACGGCTAGACTGAATTGATATTTCGGATCCTCATGGCTTTGCCGTTTTTGCATTTTGTGCTGCCACCTCCAGATTGGCTCCATATTGAACCAGGGCCAAAGCAAGTGCCTGACTGGGCATGGTCGTGACCAGGACCAGCGATAACCTCTACTAGAAGTACGGTGCCGATATGAAGAATGAATGATCCGCTTCGGTGATCACTGGACTTGACAACCCTCGCAGAGAAGAATATGGAGTTACCCAAGATTTCTTTGATGTGCAAAATTTTCTAATTATTTCACTTACTTACTTACTTACTTTCTACTTTCTAACTCACAATCAATTACCACTCTGAAACTGTACTCATTATCAATCTCGACATGGTTTTTTTACCAGCTAGACTTATTGACCGACTACTATCCTCTTTCACGCCTGATTATTCTCCTCCAAAGAGAAACTAGATCGCACTTGCCGACGCGATCAGAGCAATTCTTCGGGGAGCATGGCGACGTCGAATATGAGGAAGAAGAGGAGTCTTTCAGGTAAACTTTACAAGGGTGATTGAGAGCAAAGCGGATTCTGCATCGCAACAATTTATGGGCACATTTTGACGAAAAAGAGGAGGTAAGTTGGACTCCAGACGACGATAACGATGACCGTAGTAGCACTGAAGTTCCAGCCCAGAAAAGCGTTTTCCTTGATGGCAGACCCATTTCTCAAGACATTGTTAGTTTTGGCACTGTGTAACAAAAGCTCAATGTGAGTTGCTGAATCTCGACAGATTCGCCGCGCCATTGCCCACCGTGACACGGACAAGGGTGCCTGTTCTTAAGTGTTAATGACGAAGCGATTCAAGTGGAGCAGAACTGAAAGGCATATAAATTTGCTCCGTGAAATCGAAAAAAGAGGTACCCAATGCCAGTTGCCAAAAAAATAAACTGTTGAATCAGCGAAGGTCTATTAGCTTCCCATCTCCTAATCTAGGAATGGTTGAAGAATCGAGGGTGCTTGATTTTAAACATTTCTCTGTTCTTCTTTGAGAAAGAGTGGTGGAAGCAGCCGAGCGAGGTATGTTTTGAGTGTCCGAGCTGGAAAGTAACTTGCATGTTGACAAAGTGCGCCAAGTTACATGGGCTTCTAGGACTTCCGTTGTAGTACGCCATAGATTGACACATGGCTGTTCTCCTGAATCGTGAGCACAGGTTCGTTGAAGACTTCAGGGCATCCAAATCGTGTATTATCAAATTTGTTCGAGATTGTTGGCTACGATCAGGGCGGGTCACGCGTTTTGTGACCACGAAGAACATACGTTGCAGACAGGAGGTGGAGCAGGAGGCAACTGTTTTCGTGAAACGCGTAAGGGAAGAGTTGAAGAAGTCCCCCCTATCTGCTTTTGCCAATGCGGAGAACAAAGAATTGGCGTCGGGACACGAAACCATAAATACCATTAAAAAACAAGAAACATAAAGAGCGGGCTAGGAGTAAGAAGGAGACTGTTCGACCTAGGGCGGCAGCTGCTGGCATAAATGTCCAACCAGTCGGCTAAGGTGTCCTAGTCATATAAAGAGGGTTGCCTGAAATTGCACAGCGGCACCTAAGTACACCGACATAGATCTTGTAAACGATTCTTCCGAATGGCTCCAAACGCTAAGCATTGCCTTGCATTGTTCTGATTTAAGGGTCGGGATTCCATGCTCCGCGCGTTCAAGCCACTGCCGCTTGCTCGTGTGGTTTACGTAAAGCGCACACTTCCCGTCGCCCTTGACTATAAGTATTCCAGCCGTGCGAAGGTGCGTCGGAAAGTTAATATGTTCAGGTATGGATCTCTTCTCATTTGGAGGTGGTGACCGTCCAGCCCACAACTTATCCATACTCCGTATCTTCATGTCTTTCAAAGCGGTCCAAATGGACAGCTACGGTGTCGCAGTGGCTGTTGAGCTCCTGTTCCAGCTCGGTACTACGCCTCGAATCCTCTTCAACCAGCTTCAAAAGGTGGTCATCATTGAGCTCAGTTGGTCTTACAGCTAGTGGCTTTTCGGTCTAGTCAAAGTGGCCGTTTTCGGACTTCTGGTGCCCATACCTTATCCTGATGTATAAGACAGTGAAGGGTCCCTTTGCAACACATACGTTTCTTGTTGCACAAACTGGATCAGCTTTTTTCTAAACTTGTAAAGCAAAAGCAAACTAATCTGCTTTGACCCGAGAGCGATGTTTCCAGACATAATCGTAGAAATGCTGGGCAGATATCAGTAGCGATACCTCAATTGAACGTTCAATCTGCTCTCCAAGCTCATAACGACAGTAATACTACATGTATGTATCTTAGCGAATTTGTTCTGAACACCTTCCCTTTCACTAATCAGGTTAATATGGAAGTTCCTCGAAGCTCCCACCAGCGCCGTAGAAGTAGGAGTGGCAAGTAAGTGAGCAGAAATTCTTATAAACTTTTTGATGAAATACTACGAACCTTCTGGATCTTTCACTGCAGGGTCCAGAAAACAACAATTTCAACCCAGTTTCCTGGCTGAGTAATCGGAACCCTAGGCTGAGATCGCTGAAAAACCTAAATTTTTTTCAACTTGTTAGCCCTAATTCATCAGCATGATTTTTTTCAACATAGTATTTTCACTATAGTAACCTTTTTATTAGTACTGGCACATATGACTGAGAGCAGAATTTACACTGTAAAATCAGGGATAAGCCGCACAACGCAGCATTCGAAGTTCATAACTAGGAGACTATTAGCTTATTTCAACATTTTTTACTTGGTGTAGGTTTAACGATCTCATATTCATGGGGCAACGTCTCGCTGCTTGTACCCGTTATATAGGCCAAGAAACCACTCAATTACCTTTATGATCCCGATGGTAGCCGAATACTACTAAGTGGATGATGGATGTCTTCGAGACCGTGCCATGATAAATGACCCTGCGATCAATTATTTTCAATAAGAAAGTTCCACATGTTTCGAGAAAAAGATTGTTTCATCTGTCATTGAATTGATAAAAGCTTTTTTCGATCCACGCGATGACGAATAAATATGGCTCGCAAACCAAGCGCCTAAGAATTGGAGCTTGTACTGATTAGGCTGGATCACAGAGGCCTAGAAGATTCAAATTGAGACTGTTTGTGACATCAGGACTACTACTACTGGACTACTGGAATCTTTTCAGGACCCTCTTTATAAAGAGTAAGAGAACAGCAAACTGTGACAGACGGACACGGTGTTAATGGCGTGAGATACATCGGATGACGACGTAAATGTTTTTCCAGAGTTCTAAAGAGCAAATTTTCTAATCAGGCCTGACTTGCATAAGAGCAAGAGCCACAATCCACTAGTCCGAATCCAAATTGATAAAATCCTTGTGGAGTATGAGTCTGAGCCTCTTTCACGTTGAATAGAAGGTGAGCAAGCTTCTATTCAAGAGGGCAAGAACTGTGGAATATATGTACATTCGCTATTTCTTTCGCGTCATGGTGTAGTTTACGGACATCCATAGTCAATGAGCTCCGGATTTCAGTTAAGGATTCGCTAGTCATCGTCGTTTCCTATCGAAAAAACTGCTTACTGCCGTAGCCCACTGCCTTCCAAACACTATCTCATTCCAACGGAAGTTTGAAAGAAAGTGCCTCTCCACAAAGCTACCGAAAAATCTCGACTGTGACTGAGCGAGAGTTGAGTTCCTGAGAGTAGCGATCTTTTGGCAAACAATCTGTCAGAAGTTACATATGTGTGGCGACAACCACAGTTTGTAGGAGCCTTCAGCGATAAAGTGAAGTGGAAACTGATAAGAAAAGCACTCAACGCATGCGTGCCTTTCGCGACCAAAATCAGTACGTCGCTTGGGAATCGAGAGAACGTCTCCCAGTGTATTCATTTCTGACTCATCCTCCATTAAAACCCCCCTCTCTCTACTCTGTAATTCGCCACTGTTCAGTGCCCTGCGATTTTCCGTTGAATGATCCTTTTTTACTCGACTATGGCCTCATTGGATGTGTACTCGTGTGAAAAGGACTACGGACATTTGATTTGTTGGTTTTTAGCGGATGGAGGAGGCGAAAGAAGAACTCGACGCCGCCATACTTCAGGCAAAGAACCACTGCATTTCTCTCCAGCAAAATGTTTGGGACCATGAGAAGGTGCTTTAATTTGTCTACTTGTGCGATGCCTTTATGAGGACTGTCTCTCATTTTAATTCTGCTTTCAGTCCAATCTGAGCCCTGTGGAAGACCTCTATGTTCGGCGCTATATTTATGCGGTCACCGTCGCCCGTAATATTCGCTTCTTCAATGGGGTTTGTTCGTTTCATTCGTGTGTTCTCAACGAAAAAGCTGAAGTCTTGTTGAAGTGTCCCAGTTATTGAGCTTTTACGTTTGATATTGGAAACTGTATGAGATCTGCATGCCAAGCGTTGTTCGCGCTTTATGATTGCCTTATCGGTACCGTCGGAATGTTTGCATTTTCCTCCTCGTCCTCCCAACTAATCGATTGACATTAATTTTGTGACTGCTGATTTTTGACTTCTTTTCGATGTCAAGGAAATTTCCGAACACCTCAATATTGTTTGGAGTGGGTGGCCAAAAAGAAAAACATTTTCTTCAGCATTCCTTCGATAATGAGATAATGACTCACTAGTTTTACATAAGGAACGCTTTCTTCATAAGGCAGTGTTCTGCGTGAAGTAGGTTTGCTTGTGAAGATTACTCTTTGGTGCATTTATGGCTTCCGTCTACATGGTTGGGTAAATAGGTGAACTGATAACCAACCATTGTTCACATGTGAGTCTGGTTACAGATAAAATTCATACGAAGGGGAACTGCTATGTAAGGAACTTCGATCTACCATTTAGAAGGTGAACTGAGTGAATTAGAGCTCATCACACATGCGATCTGAGTTTTGGGTTCACGCCATAGCGATTGAATTCTTCCCTTACTAATTTATTAATTGGCAGTATATGTGATTGATGGAGCAGTGGCTCCTAACTGTGCCGGCAAGTCAAACTGCATGAGCATCACGAGATCCGAAGCAAGTTAATTGCATGGCGTATCATTGGCGGCTTCGACCACCTCGTTGTTCACCAGTTTCGGCCATTTCAGACGCCGCTCTATGTCCTTAGAACAGTAATTATGATCGGTAAGACTTTGTACTACGAATGCTCCAGGTATATGACCATAGCTGTATTCATTAGTCTTGCCCCGAAATGGTAGAATGTGCTGGTATTGACGGAAAACGATCGAGGTGGGGATAGGTAGTGAGAAATAATGCAACCGTATATGTTCTAGGATCGTATCCCATAAAGGTTTTCGTCATACTAATCTTCTCTGTGTTGTGAAGTGGCATTGAAATCGACTGATGGAGCAAGATGGGCTTCACATCTGCTGAGGTCCGCAATCACTGCCGGACCAAGCGTTCTATACATTCCAACACTTTTACGATTCTTTGAAAAAAAAATCGTGGACTCTTTCAAAAGAAGGATTGATTAGAGCCAAGAACTATTTCAACATCTCATCGATTGGCTGGTTTTGATCGATAATTCCACACTCCTAAGTTCCGTAACCCAGTACCTTTCGATAGTTTGGCGTATCGCCCATATTCAGCCCACTGCGCCAAAACCATTAAATTTGGCAGGCTGATTAGACATGGAATACTGTCACTTTCGGAGACGGGATCGATTGGTATCGAGTACTTTGAAATTCAAAATTTTGCCAGTTGGCTGATATCGATGCGTATCAGTAGGTAGGTACGACTCTGGAAAATTCCGTAAGGGATAAAGTCTTCGGACCTTAATTAATCCCATTTGAAGGATGGGCCTCCGCATCCGACTTGCTTTCAGAATAGCAGTGGCGCAATTGATGTGTATGTAATTTACAATGCAGTGCTTTTATCCTCCTAGACAAGTTTTCTTGGCCCGGGCCATTTCTAACCCTAGACCGTGCGTGTGTGATACTGTGTCTCTTGCCGTACACCGCCCTTGTCATGTGAAAAGAGGGATTCCCACTTCATTTGCACGGCATGGCGTATCATTCGAATGCAATCAACTGATCAATAGCTACCAAAAATG